CCAGAGGCATGGTTACCAGAGGCCCAGTGCCTGGTCCCGGAGGACCAATACCTAGTGGAATGCAGGGTCCCAGTCCAATTAACATGGGGGTGGTTGTCCCCCAGGGATCCAGACAGGTCCCAGTCATGCAGGGAACAGGCATGCGAGGAGCGAGTTTACAGGGAGGAGGCCAGTCTGGTGGCTTTAGTCCTAGGCAGAACCAAGTCACTCCACAGGATCATGAGAAGGCTGCTTTGATTATGCAGGTTCTACAGCTGACTGCAGACCAGATTGCCATGTTGCCTCTAAGGCAGAGTATCCTGATTTTAAAGAAACAAATACAGAAATCCACTGGAGTACCTTGATAGGTTTTCAAAAATACCTGATGAGAAATCTGGAAATTAATTGTATAATTTTGTTGAAATATTGAAAAAAGATGACCTGCATCTTAATCATTGAATGACTCAAATCAGTGCCAGGTGGAAGACTCCCATCACCTTCTCTCAGAACAAAACAATTCATTTTATTATCTTAGTTTGTATATTTACTGTGACTTGAAATAAACTTTGAACACACACACACGCACACACATTATTCTACATTGTACATCTTTATAAGGTACATGTGATATTTTGATACATGCATAAAATGTGTAATCAAATCAAATTCAGGATGTCTATAACCTCAAACATTTATCATTTCTTTATGTTGGGAATATTCAGAAACCATTAAATGCTCTTGATCCTGGGCCAGGCCCTATGCTGACTGGTTAATCCATGTTCTTTCCATTAAACCTCACAGTCATTGAATTAGCTTTGTGATGCCTGATTTATAGCTGAAAAAAGAAATTTTTGAAAAGGTAACTAACTTGCCAAAGGTCATACAACTAGTCATTGTTACAGTCAAGATTTAGGGTGGATTGGTTCTGATATCCAAAGCATTTTTATTACACTTTTTTTCCGTTTGTTTTGATAAAATACAAAGAAAACTGCAAATATAAGAGAACACCTATATTTCCATCACCCCGAATTAGCAGCTGTTAATTATAGTATAGTATTTGTGGCTAGTGTCTTTTTTTCCCTTTAACCACGTTTCATTCATTCTTCCTGCTGATGAGTATGGTATGTTTTCCTGTAGTCTCATTTTAAAAAATCATTATTTATACATAGCTGCTTCCAAAGGTTCATCATTTCTTTTTCTTTCTTTCTTTTTTTTTTTTTTTTAAAT